CAGCTTATTCTTTACAAAAACCCATATAAATATAAATGTATCAAACTTTGTGCAATAAAAAAAAGTCCATAAAAAAAGTCGAGCTCTTTAATTTGGTTTCATAGGAAGATTTTTAGTATGCAGTTTTGTAGCCCCTTAAATTTTTGTATAAAAAATTGCAAGAATTAAGTATCACTTACCGTTGATTTTTGGAATTTTTTTTTACGGTCATGCTCATTTTCCTCCATACAAAAAAGGGTATAAAATAGAAAATAAAATGAAAATATCTGGATACGAATGTTTTCATTCCAATCTGGTATCGCAAGGGGCCAAAATGTCTAAGAGTTGCGTGCAGACAGTCAGCCAGATTAGACTAAACTACGATCCATCAAAATTGCAGTCTAACGGCCAATACATTTATCTCGGCCAAATGTAACGATAAATAATAAGTTTGTTAGAAAAAAAAAATTCCATTTAACAAATTAGCAATGTAAGGGTGTTTTATTTGAGGTTGACTGTATTTCATATTTACCCAAATCATATGCAAATCTAATCATCCCTAAAAGCGCACACAAAGCAATGCACGGAGCGAAAATTGTCGTTAATTCAAATGCAATCGAAATGGAAAATGAAAACGAAAAGAAATACGAAAACGTATGCATACAATTAAATCAGCGCTAGCAGCACATATGTACATACATACATATGTAGGTAGCTATGTATGGATTTTAATATATAGCACATACGAGTATAAAATCCATATTACGTATGTATTGTATTGTTTGTCGTTTTTGTTGTTGGGGTCTAATTTTGCCATAAATACGCGCGCATGCAACCTCGAAAACTCTTTGTGTTTCTGACAGCTGGAAGAGCTACACCAGCACCGGTATGCATGCAGCGGATGCAGCGCCCATAACTGAAGTTAACTAGAAACAGATCCAGGCTATTTACTATGTATAGCGGCTCACTAACACTGCCATTTGTGCGGGACATTTAAACGCTGCTGGGATTCGAGTTTAAACGGACGCGTTTGTAGGGTTTTCCGGCAAATAAACGGGCGCGCGCAACGCTAAAAAAATCATACATATTTTTCCTAATGAATTGGAAGATTTGTACATAAATATATGCATATACAATATTTGTATGTGAAGTGTTTTCCTATTTTCTTGTGCGAAGCTAGTGTATAGTGTGGCGCACAGTGTTGCGTGTTGACCGTGGATGCGGCGTGATTACAGTTGAGACGCGCGCTTACTTACTTACTTGCTAACTTACGTTTGGAGTCATATGCCGATATTCGCAATTACCTGGGAAAGTTTAGCATTGTCGTGGTCATTGGCGTTGTCGTGGTCGCTTGCGTCGAAGTGAAGCGCATTTTTCATTTGCAATTATTGTGATTTGCATATCGTCGCATTGAAATAATGAAATTGCAAAGAAAACACACAGTGCGAATTCACTTGCGGTTGAACTAAAAATAAAGCGAAGTGTAAACAAATAAACGGCGAAAATTTTAATATTGCATTAGAAAAAGTGTGAAAAACGAAGAATAAACATCGAATATTAAGCGTATACGCAGGAAATGACCGATACCAACAAAGTACTTGCATCGTTTGCACGTTTAGCTATGGCCGCGACAGCTACCACCCTAGACCCAAACAGTTGGGACGCAAGTGCACTAAAATCAAACGCAGCTTTATCCAATGCCAGCAGCGCGCTCTATGCGCTAATCAACAACAGTTCCTCCAATTCATTTGACGATCCATTCGCCGCCTACAACTACAACTATGACAATGCACAAAATGGCTCGCTTCATCACTTTTACGACCTGGGTCCCACGCGGGATTCACTCAAGATCGTAATACCGGTGACGATCATTTACAGTTTGATATTTGTAAGCGGTGTTATTGGAAATATCAGCACCTGCATTGTTATCAAGAAAAATCGTTCCATGCATACAGCCACCAACTATTATCTCTTCAGTTTGGCCATCTCTGATTTTTTGCTTTTGCTCTCCGGAGTTCCACAAGAGATGTACTTCATCTGGTCGAAATATCCGTATGTTTTTGGCGAATACTTTTGCATCGGTCGCGGCGTGTTGGCTGAGACTTCAGCAAATGCAACTGTGCTCACCATAACCGCCTTCACGGTGGAGCGATATATGGCCATCTGCCATCCATTTCTCGGGCAGGCTATGTCGAAATTGAGTCGCGCCATCCGCATCATTGTGNGGTCGCGGCGTGTTGGCTGAGACTTCAGCAAATGCAACTGTGCTCACCATTACCGCCTTCACGGTGGAGCGATATATGGCCATCTGCCATCCATTTCTCGGGCAGGCTATGTCGAAATTGAGTCGTGCCATCCGCATCATTGTACTCATATGGCTAGTTTCGGTGCTGACGGCCATACCGCAGGCGGCCCAATTCGGCATTATCATGCTGAATGGCATCGAGAAATGCGCTGTGGTGCGAAATATCATTCAACACTCATTTCAGCTGTCCACTTTCATTTTCTTCTTTGCTCCAATGTCCATCATTTTGGTATTATATTTGCTGATTGGCCTGCGATTGCATCGCTCAAACTTAATGGGTGCCACGGGTGGTGAGGTCGATGGTGGCGGCTTTGGTTACATTAGTACGGGCGTGAAAGCGGTGAACGGTAGGGGAAGTAGCGGAAGCGGCAGGGGCAGCGGCAGTGGACGGCTTCCCTTTGGTAGCAGTAGTTTCGCCCGAACGAGCGGAACACGCAAAGGCAACGGCCGCATGAGCATGCAGAGCACACAGAGCGATACGATGCTCTATCGTTATACGGGCGGGAGTCAGTTGAGCGCTGTGCGTGGGCGGATGAATCATTATGGAACGCGTCGCGTGATCAAGATGTTAGGTAAGTGCATTAAAGGGGTGCAAATGTGAGCATAACTTTAAATGTTTACGAACGCAGCTAAAAGAAAATCCAACAAGATCTGTCTTGAGGTTTGTTAGGGAATTTAGCTGGTGCTCGTATAATGAGCACCATATAGTTTTAGGTTGAAATATCCTGATCTGCTGCTACTTACGCTCTCCATGCGGCAGTTAAAACACCACGCTTTCATAGTTAAAAATTTAAAAGTACAATGTTCGTTTTTCTATAGATCTCTCAATGTCTTAATGAATACACATCACACAAACTTTAACAAATCGACCCTTAAACTCCTTTTGGCTTTCAAATAGCTCATAATACATATCGAGGGCTTACATATATTCAATACTCTCTACCTGCAATTTTCACAAAAAACTACTTTGCTCTGTCATCACCAGTGTTGCCATTTATTGTTTTTCCATCTCTCCAGATTTATAAACAAAAATCGCTATAATCCCGCTAAATCATTTCAATTCTGTAAACTCTTATGAAAAAATAGTTTATTTTATAATTTAGCAGTTCAATTGCATTTGATAAAATAAGTGATCATATCGCACGTTTTATAATACAGAGAAGTAAATCAAAATTTATGTTTTTTGAGATTTCGTCATACAGTTAATAAGATTTGTAAGGAGAATATGTTCAGTCTAGCAGATAACTATACTCCCCAGAAATGGCGAAGATATATGTCTTTCCATATGTCTTATGGTATAACAATTGTATGACTTGATTAAACTTCGATGTGTTTTCCTACAAAACTGAAATTTTGAAATATTAAACGTGCGATATATACATGCATGTGATGTCAAATTAAATACAAACCTTTAATGTAAGGTTGAAAATGCGAAAACTGTTGCAAGTAAAAAAATTAGTAATAGCAAACAGCGTTTAAGTCTCATCGATTTTTCGCAGTGGAAAATGTAAATGTATAGAATTTCGATCATTAATTAAATCGCTAAAAACTAGCTAAGTGCTCACAAGTAAACACTAAAAATCCCGCTAGTCACCGAATTGTAAATTTTACCGCTAAGTATAAAATAAAGTCGCTAGATCTAGTGGGAAAATAGTTAAAATGGCAACACTGTGCCTACATGCCTACGAACTGAGAGAAGAGTCGCAGAGCAGTCGATGTAGCCAAATTACGGAGCGTAATAGTTAAGGCAACTGTGGTGAAAACTATTGCTCTAAAGGCCGGTTGCACCATGTCTAGCTAACGCTAACTGGAGCTACATCCTTCAGTTAAGCACATCGACTGCGTTATCGATCACATGCTATGGGATGGGGCCGATAACGTCGATAGCGATGTTTAACTGGGAGTTAGAATTAATCAGACATGGTGCAAAGGGCCCTTAGGGTCAGTTTCTCAATGTATGGTTGGCACTAACTGCAGGTTTAACATTGTTATCGACGTGATTGACTCCATAACATATAACACGGATTCTATAACGTCGATAAAGATGTTTAACCTGTAGTCATTTTTAACCAGACATTGAGAAACTGGCTCTAATAGTGTTAGGTAGATTCTTGCCCCGCCCGATTTCAAATATGGTAGGGTATGAGCGTCTAATTACACAATTTAATAATTTATTGGTTAATATTTACTTAGGTTTTAAAAATCTATTTTTTGCTTCTTTGTTCACTTCGAAACAACTTTATTTTAGTATTTTTAATCTAAAAATATAACGAAGCATGTAATTATAACTGAGCGGCGTCACTATTTTTTTGAAAAAAAAAAAAAAATTCGCTGTCCTTAATTCAGAAATGCGCACATAAATTGAGACAGTCTTAGAGTTATATAAATAAGGTTCTCAATAAGTGCGGGCCCATTTCATAACCATATCAGTATTTTTTGCTTATAATTTATAATTTTGAAATTCTTTAACAACTTGTACAGTTTTTGACCGCTTATAAAATTTCCGAGCACTTTGGCCACTACTTACCTACTCACTTGTAATCGATTGTCCGCTTAATAAAAATTAATGATAGATCTTGTTGAATATTTTGGTAGCCTATAATGCTAAAGGCAGTGTCACACGATTGGTACATTTTTACAGATTTGTACATTTTTTATATTTGGCTATTGGTATAAAAAAAAAAAAAAAAATGGGACGATATTTTTTTACATTCACACGATTGGTAGATACAATACAGCGAACTTCTATTGAAGATTTTGCACAAATTGTTTTTTCGCGATTGGGTTGAAGAAAAATAAATGAATAAATAAAAATAAATAAATAATGTTCACACAATGGGATACAATTTGCACCGAATTTTGGATAAATGCTCAATCGTGTGACACTGCCTTAAGAGGAAACGCCGCTTACTTGATTGTTTCTCTTATATATTTACATATATAGCGGCACTAACTATAGTGACACTATTCAGTTGTTGAGATTAAAAACTTGCACAAGTCACGGACTTGTACGGTTTTTCTCTTCATTTCTCATGGGTGCAATAAGATTTGGTACGTTAATGTCTAAGTATCTAGTACGGTTTTTAAGCTCAGTCGGCTGAAGAGACAAATTTTTTAACAAGTGGCTATTTTAATTTAAAATGTCAAATTTTGACCATGTTGTCGAACTCAGCAATTCAATTAAATTGATTACCGTCTTTTTTAAATGAAATTATTTAGAAATCAAAATGGCAAAGCTTTCTGATTTTTTTTATTTTTTACAATACATTGTTCATTCCAAAACAATACAATAATTATGTTACATGGTTGCATGAACATTCTTTATTAGCTCGGGCCGCAGTAAGATAACTAAGCATACTTAAAAACGTATCGACTATTCAACATTTGTACTGGCTGTGCATTCGAATTTTTCTCACCATCTACCCAGTCGGAAAAGTAGTAATGCATTACATGCGTGATAAATAATATAATGTATTTCTTATGAGTTCTCGATTATATTACTGCTAACTATGTAATCAGCATTCTAATGTTTTCAAACAGTTTCAAAAATTTCATATTAAAAGACACATTCATTTCTCGATACTAGGTAATGCAAAATTGAATGCCCCACTTTTCTTAGGACATCGCTCTGGGAAAAAATTTGATTTTCGAATGTGAAAAGGATTGTTTTACTGATTATTTTTTCGATTACTATACATTACATTTTCCCACTGGGTAGTTTAGATTTTCAACACCGCAACATCAGACCAAATTCATTTAGTGACATATGCTTTTATTATTGTGATTGAGTTATTATTTTATTGTACTTCCAATCTTACATGTTGTTTATGGGTGACTATTTTCGTTTTCATCATTTATCATTTGCCAAATGTCTAACGATAATAATGATAATATTATTTTGGCGCCTTCACATTGGCAAAGTGTTTGGCCGAGCTTCTCCTCAAATTTTTTGTGTGCGTCTTGATGTAATAACACAAATGGAGGGATCTGTAGGTTTACGCCGCCTCCTAGCGGCAAATGAGAAGCTTTTCCATGGCAGAAATACACTCGGGGATTTGCCATTGCGTGCGGAGGAGCGGCCGCTGTTACATAAACTTTTTCTAATTTAGATGTTGCTCGGACGAGAAATCGAACCCAAGTCCTACGGAGTGGTAGTATGCACCGCTACCCACTCAGCCACAGCGTCCAAATATTTGCATACGAGAAATATCATGAAGCCCGCATTTTCTATCTATGTACATATCTACATTTATCTATTTTTACGTTTTCGTAACTAACTGTAAATGTTGCATTCGTACATCTGACATCTGTATTTACATAAATATGTATGTATGCATATGCGTAGGTAAATTCGTTTGTACTTTTAATAGCCAGGATCTATTAACACAACAATCAAGCAGTTTGCCGTGACGATTACATGCTGTGCGTCAATTAGAATTCAATTTGCTCCCCAAAATTTGGTATAAGATACATGGCGTAGGTACTGATAAGCGCATATTCTAACATACAAAAGTATTCATGTTGATATATGTATGTATGTACATATTTTTATGTTCATACTAACGATATTTTATTGGTCGCCCCATTGCATTTTTCTGAGTTTTTGTGGGTTTTTGGCGGACCTATAAATTACAGTTGCGTTGAAAAAATGGTTAAATAAAAAATTGAGTATTATTATTGGGAGTCTCATGCAGATAAACAGAGTTTTCTGGTAGAAGAATTTTTACGAAAAGTTGTTTTTTCCCCATATATGGAAAAAAATATATGGAAAACTTTGAGCGTTTTGAGCGACCTCTAAATATTTTTTGATTTCAAAACAGAAAAATAAGGGTATACTTTTTTGCGGTATAGATCAATCCTAGGGAGTGAGAGTGTAAAAATTCCGACTTTACTTTTTCACATGCATTTTTGGACCACCCTAATATGCACACATGTAGGTAGTATGTACGTACATATGTATATGAGGAAAATGGATATTCAAATAAGTTAAAGTGCACAGTATTATTAATAATATCCACACAATTACAATCCCCCTTGAGGATAGTGTTTCCCCCGGGCCCAAAGTTTTCAAAGGGATTTTTCTGAAAATTAATTTGGAAGATAAAAATTCTAATAGTTAGTTAAGTTTTTTAGTTTGCTTTGAATATTATAAATTGTAATAAATGTGAAAGCACATTTTTACATAGACATGCAATTGTGACGCAGTCTTTTCCATATTTGGAAAAAAAACTTGCAGAGACGTTATAAAAATACATATAGTCAAAACAACCGCTAATCTGGTCTGGCTTATGAAACATAGAAAGGTTTCCACCATCATCTGAAGTCACCAGATGCTTTCTAGTCTTTCACATACATAACTTGCCAGCAATCATATTGAAGTCTTTGATCAAATGCGAATAATTCGCATCATTTTACATATTCTCGTTCGCATCAATGATACGAATGTTTTGCGAATGCGAATGTGTACATGGGCAGAGAGTCCACTCTAATATTGTTGAACTAGCTTTAAGTCTGTCTAACCAGGGTGCGGGCAATAAACGGCTTTTAGCTAAACGGATAAGTGGTGTATCGA